CAAACTCGAGGCTTCAAAACGGCAGTTCACAAACCAATGTGTGTGTGGCACTTTACACTGAATTTAAGTTTATTTTCCTAATTATATTTATATTTATTTACATACTTATATATTTTTACTCAAGTAATATTTTACATGTCCTTCAGGGAACAATTCAAAGTAGAGACTCTGCAGACGAAGCACATATAGACAATAAACAAGGACTTATAATATATATTATATATCACCACAAAGGAGCATATTATTTAACATTTAATACTATGTTGCTCTTCATTGAGCATTTTTAAAATGTGTATTGGCACTTTTATAAAAGTAAAAGATCTGAGTACTTCCTGTATTTTCATGTGCCCCTTGTTTTTCATCTGGAAGACACGGCAACTAAACATGTAACTTGAACTATACAATGCTGAACTCATCTAAAGATACACATGGAGCAGATATTTTTTTAGCTTACCAGGAAAACAGTCATTATTTACTGAAAAGTAAAATGAGAGTTGGTAACAGCACAGTTGGTGTGTTTGTAAAACTTCAAATAAAAAGGTAATGAAAAATCTATATTCCCTCATAACATTTATAACAGATTCTCAGTGCAGTGAAAAAGTGAAATTCCACCATCTAGTGGTATTTCTGCGTATCGTACTGCTTGCATTCATAATTACTTCTGTGATTGAGTTGTCTTATTTTGTAATGGGTACAAGTATGAAGTATTTTTTAATTATACAGTCATTTTTAAAAACATCTTGTGTCATTTTGGGATATGATGATGAGAGACAGAGATCGATAAAAAAAGGTGTAACCTTTCGATAATTCTCGTACCATGGTTTCTCTAAATCTTAAAAGTGGCTGCAAAGTTTGATGAAGAATAAGATATAAAACATCTCTGGTGATTTAAGTAATTTTATTGAAACCAAAAGAAACATTAAGATGTATTCACATTTTATCTGTACTGCAAAGTCCAGCAATGCAACTTTGTAAAAATATGGTCAGTTCTCATAATTTCTTGATTGTTAAGTTTAAACATATAAATGTCTGGAACAAAAACCTACAAACATGAGGTATAATGTTATTGTTACAGTGATCACAGAGTCCATATTAAGGGCCACTTTAGTCCACCTCCTCAATAGTGGGCCCCTGGGAGCCGGCTTGTGCCTGCTCTCCACAGTTACCTTCAGGCATTCCTCCCTGATACAACTTGCTGATGATGGGGTTGCACACTTTCTCCAGCTCTTTCTGCTTGTGTTGATACTCCTCTTTATCAGCCAGCTGGTTGTTCTCCAGCCAGGTGATGGTCTCATCACACATCTCAACCACCTTCTTCTGGTCCTCCTCATTCAATTTGCCCTTCAGGCTCTCGTCCTGCACGCTGCTCTTCATGTTGAAGGCGTAGGACTCCAGGGAGTTCTTGGCAGAGATTTTGTCCCTCTGAAGGTCGTCCTCAGCTTTGTACTTGTCGGCGTCCTGCACCATCCTCTCGATCTCTTCTTTGCTCAGTCGGCCCTTGTCGTTGGTGATGGTGATCTTGTTCTCTTTGCCGGTGCTTTTGTCCACCGCAGATACGTTCAAAATGCCGTTGGCGTCTACGTCAAACGTGACCTCGATCTGTGGGACCCCTCGTGGAGCAGGTGGGATTCCTGTCAGCTCAAACTTGCCCAGCAGGTTGTTGTCCTTGGTCATGGCTCTTTCCCCTTCGTACACCTGGATGAGGACCCCGGGCTGGTTGTCAGAGTAGGTGGTGAAGACCTGGGTTTGTTTGGTGGGGATGGTGGTGTTGCGTTTAATCAGGGACGTCATGACTCCTCCGGCTGTCTCGATACCCAGGGACAGAGGGGCCACGTCCAGCAGCAGCAGGTCCTGAACGTTGCCAGAGGTGTCACCTGAGAGAATGGCGGCCTGTACGGCGGCGCCGTAAGCCACCGCCTCATCTGGGTTGATGCTCTTGTTCAGCTCTCTGCCGTTGAAGAAATCCTGCAGGAGTTTCTGGACTTTGGGGATTCGGGTGGAGCCTCCCACCAGGACGATGTCGTGGATCTGCGCCTTGTCCATTTTGGCGTCCTTCAGGGCTTTCTCCACCGGATCTAATGTTCCCCTGAACAGGTCGGAGCACAGCTCCTCGAAGCGAGCCCTGGTGATGGAGGTGTAGAAGTCGATGCCCTCAAACAGAGAATCGATCTCGATGCTGGCCTGGGAGCTGGAGGACAGCGTCCTCTTGGCCCTCTCACAAGCTGTGCGCAGCCTCCTCAGGGCTCTCTTGTTCTGGCTGATGTCCTTCTTGTGTTTCCTCTTGAACTCCTCCACAAAGTGGTTGACCATGCGGTTGTCAAAGTCCTCTCCGCCCAGGTGAGTGTCGCCGGCCGTGGATTTGACCTCAAAGATCCCGTCTTCGATTGTCAGGATGGACACGTCGAAGGTGCCTCCGCCCAGGTCAAAGATCAGGACGTTACGTTCTCCTGACTTGCCTTTGTCCAGACCGTACGCGATGGCGGCCGCCGTCGGCTCGTTGATGATTCTCAGTACGTTCAGTCCTGCGATGACGCCCGCGTCTTTAGTCGCCTGTCGCTGGGAGTCGTTGAAGTACGCTGGGACTGTGACGACTGCGTTGGACACCTTGTGGCCGAGGTAGGCTTCAGCGATCTCCTTCATCTTCACCAGGACCATGGAGGAAATCTCCTCAGGGTTGAAAGCTTTGTCCTCCCCTTTATACGCCACCTGAACTTTGGGCTTCCCTCCATCTGAAACCACCTTGAAGGGCCAGTGCTTCATGTCAGCCTGCACCACTGCATCATCAAACTTTCTTCCAATCAGTCTCTTGGCATCAAACACAGTGTTGCTGGGGTTCAGAGCCACCTGGTTCTTGGCTGCGTCACCAATCAGTCTCTCTGTGTCAGTGAAGGCCACATAGCTGGGGGTGGTCCTGTTGCCCTGGTCGTTGGCGATGATTTCTACTTTTCCGTGCTGGAAAACCCCCACACAGGAGTAGGTGGTGCCCAGGTCGATGCCAATCGCTACACCTTTAGCTGCAGACATCTT